CCTTCCTTCACTGTGGCTTGTATATGGCCTGCATTGCATAGCAGCATGCTTCCAGAGACGGTGGCTTGGCAAGCACCAGCGTGCTCGCGTCTTGCATTTAGCATTGGTTTTTCAATTTTAGGCTGAGGTAGCTCCACCAACTCAGTCATGGTGACACAAGTCCAGACAGGTGAAAACAGATCAAATCAGACCACAGCAGAAGACATGAGTGTGCCCTGGGCAAGCTTCTTTTGCAAAGACAGGAAATCCCCTCCCTCCCCACCCCCGCATGCCCCACCCAGTCCAGGCTGAGTGGAGGCTGAAGGAAAATGGAATTTATCATTCCGAAAACATCTGACGCTTCTTCCACTGACGAATGAGATGCACAAATAGAAGGGGGGGGAGAAGAGCCTGCACTTTTAACCTACAAATTTTGAGGTATTATAGACATATCTGACCCTATTAATACATATTGAAAGGTGACCTCCCTTCCAAAGGAGTCAAAAAGTTTCTGGTCCTTGTCTGATGTGCTCAGTAGGCTAGGTAAGAAGCAGCTGCCTCCATCAGGGCACATTGACTTTACGCAGCAGGATTCCTCAGCTTTTACACTGCTGATGGGTTGGTCTAATCCCCACTGGAGTGGGATGTCTGTTTACTAAGGATGTTTATCAGGCTCTTGTGTGTTTATCCGCCTGCATCCCGCTGTTTGTGAGAATGAGAAGTGCCAGCAGTTCCCCTCACCAAGAACCATTAAGCTAAACCCAGCAGCGCTGAACTTACTGAACGTCTGCATAGGGTTTCACAGGAATCTTAAGGCAATTTCCACTCAGTGCCACCTCCCAGGAAAAATGATAGTGGGCAAGAATGAAGTATATCATTAAATTTCAGCTAAAAAAAAAGATGGATGATGCCAGCCTTGCCTCTGTCCCTTAAGACCAGAAACTGCCCTAGGGTCTGTAAGTCCTCAGCTGCCCCAGATGGGAGGAATAGTTCAGTTACCCTAGACATCTGACCTAGCAGGAAACATATCCATCTATACAAGGCTGCAGTATCTGAAAATGCTGGAAACTGGAAATGGGTGGCAGTGTGACTGGAATCTAGCTTATGGCTTTTAACTGAACTCATGGCTTTTGGAACAATGACCTAATAAAGATGCTGGGGACCCCTGGGTTAGTCCAGAAAGGAGTTTTAAGTATACCTTAGGAACAGGCCACATGTAGCCCCTGCTGATCATCTGCAGATTGGTTGGGTTCAAACAAAGGGCACACAATGCTCTCTTAGCCAGGAGAGGTCATAGTGAAGGTCATATTCATTTTGTAGTTTAAAACATTACCAGTCCAGTTCAGGACAAACAAAAACACCTTCAGCAGCCCCATAAGTCTCCCTTCCCATGGCTTGCACCTTCCCTCTTCAGCTCAGGCACCACAGGCTCTTTCTCCAGGAAGAGTCAGATTAGGTGGGACCAGCTGTTATGCCCCATGGTAGTCTGTGCTTCCCTTAGAAGAACACTCAACTGTATTGACCTCTGAACTCTTTGCCAGCCTCAGCAGACTGATTCGGTCCCCATCACCGCTCGATGTCTTTGACTTTAGCTGTGTTTATCAAATGAGTGCATGCAGACTCCATGTCAGGAGGATCTAGGTTCAACCTCCAGGTGTATGTAATAAATGGACAGGACAACTCTGTTGATATTATTGAGCCCTCAACTTCCTTATCTGAAAAATATGGGTAATGGACTCATCTCTTAGATTTGGAAGTGAATTAAAATAGGGTACCCAAAACAAGCTTAATGTGTAGCACACAGTTGTCACTGCTTCAAAATACTGTCATTTTCATCCTTCAGTGTTTTATGCCATTCCTAACAGCAGCATAGTTAATTGATTTTTCCTTGAAATGTATTATCTGTAATTAATAGAGGCATGCACCCCCAGATATGAATATTCAGCTCATCTTCTTCAGTCCTCTCCCCCTCCCTTCACTCTACCTCTGAGTACCCCTGAGGTGCAGTCCTCTCCCCCTTCTTTCCCTCTACCTCTGAGTACCCCTGAGGTGCAGCTGAGGAAACATCACACATCAGTGGAACATGGAGGCCTCAGTGGTGAAGAGGATTAATACAGCATGCCCACATCCTCCCATCTTACTCTTCTTCCTCATCCCCCCTCTTCTTTCCCTCACTTCCCCCCTCTCCATCCTCTCTTCCTCTTCTTTCCCTTTTCTCCTGCCTTTATCTCATCCTCCTGCCTCCTTTTTCTCTCTCCTTCCTATGTCATCCCCTCCTTCTCCCCTCCCTTCTTTAAGCACTTACTGAAGCCATGTATCTACCAGACACCGTCTCAGACAGCCTGGTCCAGCTGACATAGGACAGTTGACCTTAGTGACTCTACTTTCGATGCCGGTTTAGTGTGAAGAACACCATCTAACAGGTGGCACAGTGGCCACAGGAAGAACTGACGCTAGGTCCTGTGGTCACATTTCCTTGGGACCATGAGATAACCAAGAAAATGCTGGAGCAGGGCCAGCCCAGGGACCACAGTGGCAGGGCCAGTGGGATGGCCCAGTGGGAAGAAGGCTCGCTGCACAAGCCTGAGAACCTGAGTGTGAAGATTCCCAGAACCCACAGTGGAAGACGAGCACTGACCTCCACGCACGCACCATACATGCACAGGTTGATAAATTCTATTTATTTATAAAAGAAAGAACACGGGGGCACCAGGAAAAGGAAAGCGTTCGACTGTGGTAACGCAGCACCAGCAAGTGAGTAGAATGAGAGGGTTAGGGTTACCGAGACATGAAGAGAGACCTGAAGAGGAGCAGATAGAAGCTGCATCCAAGGATGCAGTAGTAGTACTACGGCTGTCTGTAGTAGGCAGGAGGGCAGAGGCAGAGCCCTATGGGTCTGGGTGTGGGTGACAGTGGGATGCTGAGCTTGAAGGAAAGGCAGTGTGGTGAGATGTGAAACTGAGGGAGCAGGGACTGAGCAAGGCCTTGTGCTGGACTCAGTGAGGGAGAGATGGGAAGTGAGAGGGGAGCCGTGGCTGTAGGCTGTGAGCAGGCGAGGAGGTGGCTGCTCCAGTTGTGAGGAGCAGCGCCTGAGCTTGTCTTCCGTACTTCACATGCATATGTACTTTACTACCCATATGCATGCGAGCACGTGTGCGCGCGCGCGCACACACACACACACACACACACACACACACACACACACACACACGATCCTCTTTAGTTAAGTCCTAAAAATAATTTGGGCAAAATTTTCGTTCCTCCTGTTTTCTGTTTTGAGGCCAACATGAGCAGCCACAAGGGGCATGGAGGGCTCTGAGGATTGAAGCACAAGTTACCTGACAGGCACACTCCAGAAAAAGCTGTTCCTCCTGGCCAGGCACTCGAACACTGCTTTCTCCATTCTTCTCCACTCAGCTCATTCTCTGTCAGAAAGGGCAGAGGCCCGTTTGGATGGGACGTGCCTTTCAGGAGTGTAGAGCCCTCAACAAGCACTAGCATGGAGAAATGACAGAATGAGACAAGCAGGTCCACACGTCTTAGGTTCCCAGAGCCACATGATGATTAATTGATTGATTGATTGATTGATTATTTTTAATATACATTTATTATTATTATTACTAGTTACATTTTATTAACTCTGTATTCCAGCTGTATCCTCATCCTTCATTCCTTCCCAAACCCTCCCTCCCTCCCTCATCTCCTCCCTGCCCCTTTCCAAGTCCACTGATTGAGGAGGACTTCCTCCCCTTTCATCTGATCCTGTTTTATCAGGTATCTTCAGGACTGGATGCAAAGTCCTCCTCTGTGGAGGACTAGCAGGACTGCTCCTCCCTTGGGGGGTGGGGAGGTCAAAGAGCCTGCCATTGAGTTCCTGTCAGAAATAGTCCCTGTTCTCCTTACTATGGGAAACCAATTGGTTACTGAGCTACCACGGGCTACATCCAAGCAGAGGTTCTAGGTTATATCCATACATGGTCCTTGGTGGAGTGTCAGTCTCAGAAAAAACCCTGTGCCCAGATATATTTGGTCCTTGTGGAGCTCCTATCCTTTCCACATCATACAACCCCCCCCCTTTCTTTCATATGATTCCCTGCACTCTGCCGAAGGTTTGGTTATGAGTCTTAGTATCTGCTTTGATACACTGCTAGGTAGAGTCTTTCAGAGGCTCTCTGCAGTAGGCTTCTCTCCTGTTACTTGTTTTCTCCTACATCCAATGCACCTCCCATTTGTCTTTCTAAGTGAGGATTGGTCATCTTACCCTGGGTCCTCTTTCTTGTTTAACTTCTTTAGGTGTATAGATTTCACCATGCCTATCATATCTTATAGGACTATATGAGTGAGTATATACCATGAGTGTCTTTCTCCTTCTGGGATACCTCACTCGGAATGATCTTTTCTAGATCCCACCATTTGCCTGCAAATTTCATGATTTCCTCCTTTTTGATTGCTGAGTAGTATTCCATTGTGTAAAAAAGTTAAAAAGCAATAAATCAAGTAATCCAATTAAAAAATGGGGTACGGAGCTAAACAGAGAATTCTCTGTAAAGGAACATAGAATGGCAAAGAAACACTTAAAGAAATGCTCAACATCCTTAGCAATCAGGGAGATGCAAATCAAAACGACCCTAAGATTTCACCTTACACCCATCAGAATGGCTAAGATGAATAACTCAAGTGACAACACATGCTGGAGAGGTTGTGGAGAAAGGGGAACCCTCCTCCATTGCTGGTGGGAATGTAAACCTGTACAACCACTTTGGAAGTCAATCTGGTGCTTTCTCAGACAATTAGGAATAACGCTTCCTCAAGATCCAACTATACCACTCCTAGGCATATACCCAAAATTTGCTGAGGTACACAACAAAGACATTTGTTCAACCATGTTTGTAGCAGCTTTATTTGTAATAGCCAGAAGCTGGAAACAACCCAGATGTCCCTCAATGAAGGAATGGATACAGAAATTGTGGTATTTTTACACATGATGATTTTTAAAGTATCCTGTGCGTTGGATGTTTCAGCTGAGAGCGGACAGAGTGGCGGGCAGTTCCAGGGCCGGCCCTCGGAGGTCTGGTCTCAGTGGCAGAGCCAGCACCACGGGCAGCAGAGCGGTGAGCAGCACTCCCACCAGCAGCCTGGCCAGACTGAAGTGTTCCAGGTAAATCCAGCGAGCAGCGCCTTCTCGTAGGTGTAGGTACCTGCGCCTTCTCTGCTTCCTTATGCCCCTTTCTGCACCTCCGCCTGCCCTGCCCGGTAACCAGCAAGAGAGCCCGCCCAGCCTGCAACATGGGGAGCCCACAAACAGAAGGTTCTGCCCTGCCCAGTCAAAGCCTGCAGGTACGCAGGAGGCACAGGGGCCATCAGCTTTTCAGCAGCGCCCACACAGGAAAGGCTGCATTCTGACCCACAGCCCAGAGTTGCCCAGGAGGAATGTATGGAGCCAAAGATGGTAGGGGGTTCACTGTGGGGCAGGATCCATGCCCCCCTAAGAGCTCAAGACCCTCAGGGCTCGCCATGGGCACTATACACATCCTCTAAGCCTTGCAAGTATGCAGGGACTTGCTTGCCTCCACCTGTCTCCTCCCCACTATGGCAACCAGGAGGAGGGACTCCCATCAGCCCGTGTCAGCTGGGTCAGGGCTCAACTCTGTAGGTGGAGGGTCCCAGGCTGCTTCCAGACCTCCGCTACTAGAGACATGCCTTGCCATTTCCAGTTCCTAGCACACACCAACCTCACTGTGCTGATGACAAGGACATGGTCCTCCTATCATATAGGACTCAGCCTCCCAGTTTTTGCTGGAATTCTATAAGTGCCCATTGGCTCCCCTCACCTGGAGGTGGATCTGCCCACCCAGTCTTTGAGCAGCAGCCCAGGCTCCTCTGTGGGGTCCCCAGAGTGCTGCCTGCCCTGTAGAGGAAGGCTCCAGGCAAGAGCCAAGGTGTAGGAGGCTCGGGCCACACTCTTCCTCCTCAAGGCTCAATGCTCTGTTCACACACACACACACACACACACACACACACATACATACACATGCTTCACTCCAACTAGGTCAAATGTCATTTGTGCAGACCCATATATAGAGCTAGGAATCACTCATGGGTCCACATGGTTTTATTTCCTTCCCAGTAGAGGGAAGTGCCTTTCCCAGGCCTCCCTATGGATTTCTTCCTTCCTCTCACTGTAAGCACCAGCCCTTACCCCATTGTTCATCACATAGAGCAGCCCTGAAAGGCACAATTTTCTAACTGTGCGCCTTTAAGGTCGCCCTGATAAAAAGAATTCTTGGTCAAATAACTGTGAAAGACCAATTAAAGCGAGTTATTCAGTGTCTTTCTTGCAGGATTTATCAGAGCCTTTATTAAACCAGTGAGGCATGGATTTCTAGGAGGTAGGAAAGCGTGCCTTGTTTCCCAAGCACTTTTGTCCACAGAATTCTTTTTCCACCATTATCACATGGGCTGGGAATTGCACAAAGCACAGTGAACAGTGGGACTTTTGCCCTAAAGAATTGGAAGTCCCTCGAAGTTTTTAGAACAGGAAGTTCAAGGTCTAGCAAACTAGGACTAGATAAAGTAACTGACCCTTCATTCTGGGGTGGCACCACCCTGACCAGCCACTGTTCCCAGGCTCATATGCTCAGGCTCCTGCTTGGTTGGCAGCCACATGGCTGTCCAGGCTCACTTGCCCAGCTGGCCTCTTTCCATCCACAGGCCTGGAATAGCTTCAGAAGTGTCCTAGTGGGGTTTATGTTCAGCATGACACTCCCAGGAGAACAGTTCCTGGGTGTGGGGAGGGTCAGGTGTTGAAGGACCCCTGAAGAGAGCTCTCTACACCAAACTGCAAAGGAACACTTGCTCACTAGAGATGGCCGTGGGAATCGGTGGCAGGCTGGACTCCGGGACAAGGGCAGGCTCTGGGTGAGGCCGCTGACGCCTGGGGCTTTCTGTTCCTCTCCTCTCCAGGACATGCTGCCCATGCCAGGGGACCCGACGCAGGGGACTGCCAACTATAACATCGAGGACTTTGCTGACCTGGGAATGTTCCCTCCATTTTCTGAGTAGCTCCAGGCAAAGCCAGGCTCCTGCTGCCCAGGCACTATCCTTGTCATGGCATAGATGCCCATGTTCAAAGGCCCCCCCCTCACCCTGCTTGCCCTGCTGCAGGACCCCAGAAGTCCTTCTTACTCCCCATCCTCCCTGGACATGGCATCACCTGGCTCTACCCCACAGCCTGGCTTCTTGGCTTTGGGATCTTTGTATTTATTGTATTTTATCTGTGTGCTCGGAAGGGGACCTGCAGGTTCCTTAAATTTCATTGTGAATAATCTCTTAATGGACAGTTTGCACCCATCAAGTGTGTGCTTGGCATCCACAATGGCTGGCAGCACCAGCAGGTCTGCCTGGCGCAGAAGCTGGATGTCTTTCTGCTTTTTCACAGCTGCTGCCTGGAGGCTTTGGGTCAGAGTGAGAGGCGGTAACCTGTGCATTCTGTGCTGGGGCAGGAGCACAGGATGTGAGGCCCCTACCATGCGCTGTCCTTGATAGCCTGAGGTCAAGTGTGCTTTATACAGTGAGAATCAAAGTTGTGACTTGGTAGATGTACTGTGGCGTGTTGGTGTGTGTGGCCAGTGAGAGTGAGAAGCCGTCCCCACTCAGCTGCATTTCAAAGGAGAGGGTGACTGGGGCCTGGAAGCTGGGCTGACAGCCAGCCCTCCAGCACTGTCCCCAGAAGTCAGGGCTAGGTTGCTGCTCCCTTTGTAAGCCAGTTCTTTGGTCCCCTGCCCCTTTCACAGACATCCTCCACCGCTTAAAGTTCCTAGTCCTTCCTCCTTGCGACCTAGGAGAGCATTCACTCTTCTCTTACTCGGCCTGAGGGACAGTGTCCTGACTTCATGGAGGTCACTGCACCCTCGCTGCTGTGTAGCAGAACTGAGCTGCTTCTCTGCCCAGCCCCTTCAAGAAGCCACACCTGGCCCTCTGTGCAGGTTAGCAGGCCCTGCCTCGCAGGGCCCCTGACACCTTCTGCTCAGAGGCCCGGAGAGAAGGTGGAGCCACACTCTGGTGAAGGGTGCCCTGGGCCAGCTCAGCCTCTGTCCTCAGCAGGCAGGAGAGCCAGGAGTATCTCAGAAGGGACACAGCCAGGCCTGAGGGGCCAGGGACTGTGCTCTGGCTACCCTCGTACAAGGTCGCAAATTCCTCAGGGGTCTTAAGGTACAACTCTGAGCTAACTTCTGGAACAGTAGTTCTCAACCTTCGGGTTACATTGGAGGTCAAACAACCCTTTCATGGGGGTCACTTATCAGATATCCTGTATATTAGGTATTTACATTACAATTCATAACAGAAGCAAAATTACACTTATGAAACAGCAACAAAAATAACTTTATGGTTGGAGGGTCACCACAACATGAGGAACTGAGGAACTCTATTTAAGGGTTGGAGAATTAAGAAGGTTGAGAACCGCTGTTCTACAAGCTTCTATCTGGCTTACCCCTGACACCAGAGTCGCTGTGTTGGTCAGATTTTAAAGAGCTTCAGATCCCACCCCATTTTCAAGGTCCCCTGCTCCTCCCACATCCCATGTGCTACTGTAAGTGCTTGTCACCTCCCTTCACTTAATTGACCCTCATCTCAGGTATCTCATCACCATGTATCAGCCCACTGATGCCCAAATGTGAGAGAAGCCACAAAGCTCTATTAGGCAGGCCCTGGGGTACCCCGGAGTCCCTTCAGGGACCCCTTGTTAGAACTGTAGAGGTGCAAGCTCTCAGAAGAGCCCTGCCTTGCTGCCTGGCTCCTGGAAAGTTGGGGTACAATAGGCTCCAGGTTGCCCAAGGGTAGAATGAGCATGTGGATTAAGGGCCTGGGAGTGTACCACTCCACTCAGACTCTCAGCTCTGCCTGGCATCCAGGGAGTACCAGGGCTTTTACAGAACTCAGCTGCAAACTCTACTTGGCTCAGCAGAATGCCCTTAGAGCAACCCACCCTAAGGGATCCCCGTCCATGACAAACTGTGGCCCCAGAGGTCCTCAAGCATTTTCGAACCTTCCATGGTGACAACAGTCTTACTTTCATCCCAGCCTCAGAACCCCAAACAGTCTTCTACGTGTGCTGCCTGGCACAGTTTTTGTCCCCGGAAGCCTGCAGCTGGCCCCAGGTGGTGAGCACGAGAGAGAAAAAGACCAAAGCCAGCTTCAGGAGCAAAGAATGCTGTTCGGTGATGAAAACAGCCATGGCCTTTAGCTGGCGCGTTCAGAGGTGTGGGAGCTGTGGGTTTGGTTGTACTGCCTTTGGAGGGAAGTGGGGGCTTTTCTTGCATATGTGACACGGGTGAATACATAAGCTGTCACACTGCTTTGGGTCCAGGGCACTGCAGAAGAAATAGGACAGAATTCTTGCTTGAGATCATTTCATGTCTTTTCTCTCGTAAGAAGTTTAAGGTATAGCCAACTTAGTCCTTGGTCCTGGAAGGCAGGGGTACGGGGGGATTCATGGACAACCACAAGCCAGACAATACCAAATGCCTCCTGCTTCCTCACAGTCTTATCTAGGGAGCTCAGCAGGCTGGTTTGAACTCTGGGTCCTTTTCACAGCTCCTCTGCTTCTATGTTGTGACTAGAAGCCACATGTGGAGGAAGTGGGGGAGAAGCCAGAAATGGAGAATTTCACACACACACACACACACACACACACACACACACACACACAAGGTTTCTTTCACCCAAGTATTTTTGAAACACACCAGAGTCAGAATCAACACCATTATCCTGCAAAAGAACTTCCCTTGTATGTCTTTCCCTGCTGAGGAAGCCGGGATACTGGTCCTCCAGTTAATGTCCATCCAGCTACCTGTCCTGGTGACTGGCTTAGCAGCCTAGCAAGGGATAAGGCATGCTGGCTTCCTGTAGCTCTGTACCTCACCACTTCATTTGATGCTGAAGTCCAACGGGCTTCTCTTAGGCTGAACGAGCAGGAGAGGGACACGCAGGGACCACCTGAGTCATTGGCAAGGGCACAGAGGCACCAGAGAATGGGCCCAAGACCGTCAGGCCAGCCAAGGATGGTTCTAGGACCCTGCCTTTGTGTCATTCCTGACTAGTTTCCTCTTGGTTTCAGGGAGTGAATGAGCCAGAATGAACGCTCGTGCTCAGCTCAGCCCTTACTTGCATTATAAAGTGACTATTAGGGGTAGTGAAGTTTGGATGAGCAATAGAACCCACACTGAGGAACTCACCCTCCCCTGTAATTAGGACAGTGGGGCCCTTAGGTTAACCTGGCAAACATCCACATTCCCTCCAGTTCTGGCAGGTCCAGGAGGGGCCCCTGCAGCATAGTTTAGCCAGTGAGCAGTAGCCTCTCCCAGGGTGAGCTCACCTGCTTCGTGACAGCTACGGCCTGTCACACAAGCAAAAACAAGCCATTTTCTAACCACCAGTAACAAGGCAAGATTAAAAGCCTCTTTATATGTGGCCACAGGCTTCTATGTCCTAACTTGTCAGTCCACCCTCCCTTCCCCTACCAAGCTGATGCTCACTTGAAGTGCCACCGCTGGAGAGACTGAAGCAGGAAGGGTCAGGAACTCAGGAGGTCAAGAACTACCTGGGCAGCATAATGAAACCAATGTCAAAAACAAATACATACCTGAGTAACTTGGCCAAGTTTCACGTGCTGAGGAGTTACCAGCGCTCTGGCTGCCGGCGTCCTCCATCGCCTAGAATCTGGGACAGCTTTGAGGTAGCTCACAAGGGCACGATGGGCACATTTCCACTTGTGACATGCCATGTCTTGTGCCCTTAGCTGGATTTGTTCAGGCAGCCTGCAAAGCCTTGTGGGTACTGGCTCTAGCAAATATGGAACTTTTCATAGGCCATCCAGGGCCTAGCAGTTTGCGTCATCTAACCATCTATCCTTAAAAAAAAAAAAATCACAAACAGGCTTCCAAGAACAGCAAGCACTTACTCATCTCTTTTAGCCTTTCTTCTTATGGATGTGAACTGTGCCGTGGGTAAATCATTTGTATTTCTTGAATGTTCTGTATGACTAACAGGTATTAAGTCACTGGGTACGTGTATAACTAATGTAACTGCCTTTTAAATTTTCATTACAATAAAAAATGACTTTGCTCTGAACAGTGAGTGCCTTGGACCAGCTTGGTAATTGATCAGCATGAAGCACCTGCCCCTGGGAGTCTGGGGTAAGCCACAGTGTATCTCCAACAAATCAAGAATATGCAGTACAGGCAATATAAAGAGCCAACCTTTGCAAATTTTTAACTACTAAGGACAGAAAGGGACATTAATGATTCTTGAGACTTGGTGTTAGGCGAGGCTCTCTAGACCCTTCTCTGGAAAACTGGACTTTACAAACACTAACAGCATTTACTTTTCAAAAGACTTTAAAGAGAATACCTGGAAGAAAGTAGCCCTGAATCATTTATCAAACAACTTGTATCCATAAAATACAAGGAACTACTCCTACAACTTAAGACAGAAATTTTAGTACCAATAAAAAATAGCTGCCCATTGCATATCCATGTTTTTCCCAAGAATTTCTATACAGGCTGCTGGTTGTGGCACAAGTTTACAATTCCAGCTTCAAGCAGGCTGAGGCAGGAGGATTGTCTTAGTGAGCTCAGGAGTTCCAGACGAGCCTAGGCAACACAGTAAGAAGCTATCTTAAACACACCCAGGCTCACACACAGCATATATACATATGACATTTCTGGTTAGTATCTTTAGTTCTAGAGAAATGCAAACTAAAAAGTCAATGAGATACCACTCTAATATGTGGCCAAAAATTACAAGTGTTCAGGATAAGAAAAAAAGAAGCCCTTATTCATGGGAAATAGTATGACCTCTTCACATGAAGTTTCCTTACAAAATTTTAATAGGCCTTTTTCTTAGTTTTTATTGATGTGATAAAATGCCCTGACAAATGCAACTTAAGGGAGAAGGGGTGTATTTTTGTTCACCATTCCAGATAGGATTCATCACGGTAGAGAAGGAACTGTGAGCTTGAAACCGCTGGTCACCTCAAATCCACAATCAGGAAACAGGGACGAAGTCGGCATTCAGTTCACATTCTACATTCTATACAGCCTGGATCCTCTATCCAGAAAACAGTCCTGCACAGTTAAGATGGGTCTTCCCACATCACTAATCCTAACCATGGTCTTACCCCCTCACAGACATGCCTGATTCTGCCTGTGATTCTAGAGTCTGTCACATTGACGATGCTCATCACAGATCTATTTTTTGGAGTCCCCCATCCCTAGGGAAAGAGAGATGAGCAGGCAGAGCATGGCTTTCTGGAATGTGCTAAGAGTCTAGGAATAGGTCATCCATCAAACAGCAACATGAAAGAGGGCTGAGTTCAGGAAAGGCTGGAGGACACATGGGGTGATGAGCATGACTTTAAGCACCGGGTCCTGTCACAATGGTGTCTCTTGGCTGGGCTCACAGCTTCTGAGCTCAGTTTGTGCAGGGAACACTTAAAGCATTCCCATCTCAAATCCCAAGACTAGTAAAGGTAAGCCACAGGTGTGGCCTCCCAGCGGGACGCTCGGTTAGAACACCTGGCACGCACCCTGCCTCTGGTTCTTTAGCTACAATTTCTCAGTCCCTGATTCCTCCCACATTTTTACTAAAGTCAAATGCGCATGTAAAAAAAAAAAAAAATTAAGTGGTTTGATGCTACTGAGCAAAGAGCACATTTTACCAATGCAGTCTTTCAGCCTGTGAGCAGTTTCTTCTCCCCAGGCTTCTCAAAGGCAGACGGTTTACTGATTGCACTATCTTTCCTGCCCTTCACATACTTTTTCCTTTAGTTAGAATCTCTCATTGACCTGAAACTTGTCAAATAGGTGAGGCTGGCTGGCCAGAAAAGCTTAGGGACACACCTGTCTCTGCTTCCCCACTGCTGTGATTACAAGCATATGCCGTTGTGCCAAGCATTTTTTTTTAATTGGGTTCTGGACTAGAACACATGTTCTACCTTCAAGACAAACAATTGTTATCTCTCCAGGCCAGACTATGCCCTTAGCACTTAAAATGTGATAGAACTTGGAAGCGCATGCCTGGAGATTATTCTATGACATTTTAAGTACTAAGGACACAGTTTGGGCTGGAGAGATGGTAATTGTCTGCTGTGCAAGTGCGAGGGCCTGGCTGTGGACGGTAGTGCCCATGAACAGACACAGCAGAGTAACACAGGCTCACAGACCCAGTGCTGTGGAGGAAAGGTGGATACAGGCAGCTCCCTGAAGCCTACTGACTGGTCAGCCTAAGAGTCAACGAGCCTCAGGTTCAGTGAGAGACCCTGCCTCAGAGACTCAAGACAGAGAGCTTGAAAGACATTTCTGGCCACACACACCCACATATACCAAATGCACATACATGCACACACACTCTTAATGCACACGTCCACAAATGCTGTAGACACAATTTAATCTTTCCTTTAAAAAAAAAAAATTACTGCGTCTGTACTATTTTGATACTGAAGATGTGGACAAGACTTTGAACTCAAAGAAACCTGTTTTTCCAAGAGCTGGGAGGAGCAGCCTCTCTTTGTTTACCTGGGACTTTCCACTGCTCACAGCAAAAGCCCCACGTTCCAGGAAATGCCTTTAGTCCTGGGAAACCAGCACATCTGGTCACCCAGCCCAGGACCCCAGGATTTCTTGGCAAGAAAAGCAAGGTCCTAGAGAGGAGGAAGTAGACAGGATTTTGCAACACCACAGAAGACAGGAGCTAGCATGACTCTTAGGGGTAGCTGAGACTGTGTTCTCAGATGAGGAGAAGTCCTAGAGGTTCAAAAGAGTTTTATTTTCTTTCACCAAAAGCCTGATGAAGAGAGGAAGGCTGAGGGCTCGAGGTCTGTATGGCTCAGTGGTGAAGTGCTTGTTACTCAAGTGTGAGGACTCTGGAGAGCTGCTCTCCAGAGCCCATATAAACAAAGGGAGATCTCAGTGGGACAGCTCATAATCCCAGCCCTTGGGAGGAAGAGAAGAGACATAGAGCGAGCTGGCTAGCTACCCTAACCATACTAATAGTGAGCTCCAGGTTCAACGAGAGATCCTGTCTCTACATATTAGGGGAAAACAATCAAGGAGGACAGCTGACATGAGCCTTCGGCCTCCACACATACATGTGTACACACTTGCCTATATGACTATGTGCATATTATATGCACACACATGTAATAGCATAGCTTTATTCATCAGAAAAGAACTAGATAGGTCATCTGGAGTGAAATAGGACTAAAGAAGATGTCTCAGACAAGTAGGGCATATTTTTCTCTCTTACGCAAAAGATAGGCTTTAAATACATTCATATGTAAACATATACACGTATGCATATGTATTTGTATATATCACATGACTGTAGAAGGGGTACTTTTCGAACATTTTTATTAATTCTTTGGGAATTGTATGTATATATGCATATAATATATTTTGATCCTATTTAAACTCCCAACTCTCCTACATTCTCCTCGGTCCACCTACCAGGGGCCACACACTTAAAGAAAAGTGACTTTTCTCTCCTGGAAAACAGCTGTCACTATCTCCTCAGCTGGGGGGTTATTCAGGAGTGCCTGCTCCATGCTTGATTTTGCACGGATCCTGTGCCGGCAGCCACAGCTGTCTAGAAGGCAGTGCTTCAGTCTGGTCCTCCCTGACCTCTGACTCTTATCATCAAGAGGCCACCCCCTCTTCCAGGTTGTACCCTGAGCTTTCAGAGAAGCAGGGTGATATAGATGGGTGATTTGTGGCTGGGTATTCTGCAGACACTCTCTGCATGTTATCCGGCTGGGAGTCTGCTCACTAACTGCTGACCACTACACAAACTTAGCTGATAAGGTCTAGAGCTGCAATAATAGACAGGTAGACATTTAGAGCAGAGTCTGGGACTCCCTCCATTTAACTACCACTTCATGTTCCCATGTCCTGTGACAAAAGTGTGTCATCAAGTTTCTGGTGGGCAGCCAAGAGCTTTGATCTGGGGGTCTCTAAGACACCCCTGAACAACAACTCAAGTAGCGATATCCCATAACTTGAAACCTGTGGCTTCTGGGAGAAGCATCATCCCTTTGTAGGGTAGCTCCTATTAAACTCTTTTATAAGAAAGAAAAGTAGGCAGACAGACAGACAGGCTTGGTTACACATGTCCTTTTTTCTCTAAGTTCATTTACTTTATTATTTTAAATGTATTCGTGTCTTGCCTGCATGTATATTATATGTGTATGTGCACTACTCGCGTGCCTAGAGGTCAGAGAAGTGTGTCAGCTCCCCAGGAGCTGGAGTTACAGACAGTTGTGAGCTGCCATGTGGGTGCTGGGAATCTAACTTTGGTCCTCTGCAAGAGCAACAAATGGTCTAACCACCAAGCCATCTCTCCAGCCCTGAAACACATCCTCTAATACCAGCACTTGGGAAAACAAAGGTAAGCAAATCTGTGAGTTCAAGACCAGCCTGTGGCCTCTTTAAACACACTTAATGTTATCCTCCCACACATGTACTCCTCCTTCCACTCCACCCTCCCATCCTAGTCCTCACTTAAACAGCCCTGGCCATTATTCCCACTTTACCTGAAGGGTTACTTTTAGGGAGCCAAAGAAGGGATAAAAGCAAAAGAGGTGGGACAAGAGATAGTGCTGGAGAATGATGAATACCATGTTTCCTCATAGGGAATCTAGAGACGTGTGTGTGTGTGTGTGTGTGTGTGTGTGTGTGTGTGTGTGTGTGTG